TGTGTGTGTGTGGCCAGTTCAGCCCACCAGGGGGCGGGGCTGGCTGGCATGTGGTGCTGGGGATTGAACCGTGGTCGCTGTGCTTTTACTTAACCTAGCTTAGCTTGTTCTAAGTAGGTGCTTTAGACCACTGAGCCATCTCACCAGCCCCCTTAATTTAATCTTGAGACAAGGTCTCCCTTACTTTTAAGTTGCCTAGGCTGGGCTTGAAGTTGTGATCCTTACACCTCAGCCTCCCAGAATGCTGGGATTGCTCCACTTTGCCTGGCTTACCTTGCCTATTTCTGGTAGTTATAGCTTTTTAGTAAAGGGAATAAGAGAAATCCTGTGATGTGAAGGCTGGTATTTTCTGAAAGGTCTTGGCAGCCTCATTAAGGCAGTTAGGTTTTGTTCTGTCTTTTAAACAGGGAGTGATGCCATGAGATTGGTCTGGTCACCATTCAGTGTACCAGGGGCCACATTCTGTCAGACTGGTGAGATGTGAGATGTACAGGTGAATCTTTCCTCACTCCACCTCATCTGTGTCCTTCATCTTGTCCAGACTTCCTGTATCTCTTTCCTGAGTAGGCAAAAAAAAAAAAAAAAGAGTCCAGGGAAGAACTAGGTGTTGTAGGTACTCATAAAAAGTGACCTAAGGGGTTGGGGAGATAGCTTGGCAGCTAAGTGCCTACCTGGCAAACGCATAGAAGTTCAATCCCCTGTACCACATGCCATGCCAGCCCTGTGCCAAGGTGGCCACTGAAACCAGGTGTTTCAGTGCACCACTGAAATCCCAGAGCTGGGGAGGTAGAGACAGGAGGATCACTACGAGTCTGAGCTGTGTAGAGCTGGCTCCAGCGCAGAGTGGCATGTGGCAGAGGGCAACAGTTCAGTGGCAGCAGAAAACAGCAAAACAGCAAGAGCAAAAAAGGAAGAGCAGCAGCGGAGAGCTCCTTTATATTGTGTTCAGGCTGTCCACCCCAGAGTGAGTGTAGAACTCACGTTCATGATCCCAGCAGCACTCACATCCATAATCACAGCATTAGATCCTGAGGTAATCACACACTGTGCCTCAGTGACTGCTTGAGGCTTTGGAGGAACAACTAGACACAAACCATAACAGATTCCCCCAGAAAGAGTTAGGAGAGTGCAGCATAGGTGGCAGAAACAGGAGACAGATTGGGGTTTTGTCATTTTGTTCTTCCCTTACAGAAATAACATATGTTGTAGAAGATTGTAGTAATAGTAAATCGTTAAAAAAAATTTTAAGTAGGTATATTCATATATAAAACAACTTCTTACAGTCCCACTAAAATAATGTTAACATTGTAATTAAAATGCTAGATTTTCTGACTCCTGTATAATTTCAATTTTCCTCCTTTTTGGGGGGTTAATGTAAAGGAAGTTCTGACTGCGTTTTTTGCTTGGGTACCTTTCCATCTCTGTATATATACATTTACTTCTGCTTATCACATGTATGTTACTATGATTTATTTCCCTATTGTTGAGTATTTGTTCTTTTCTGTAGTTTGAACCATGGTGCAATTGATATTTTTATCCTATTTGTATCTTTATAGCCTTGTTTTATGTTTCTGTAGGATAAATTCCTGGAGTAGATTTTTTTTTTTTTTTTTTTTAAATGTATGTGGTACAGGGTCTCACTACGCAGCTCGGACTCGTAGTGATCCTCCTGTTTTTGGCCTCCCTAGCACTGGGATTACAGGTGTGTGCCAATACACCAGGACTCAGTGGTCCGCTCAGTGTACCCTTGGGCAGGGCCTGCATGGTGCCAGGGATCGAACTCTGGTCCCTGTGCTTGCATAAGCAGGCACTTAGTCAGCTGAACTTTTTTTTTTTTTTTCCTTTTAAGCGTATTTAGTACAGGATCTACAGGGTTTCACTACATAGATTGGACTCAGTAAATCTCCAGTTTTCAGCTTCCCAAGCACTGGGATTACAGGCGTGTGCCCCCATGCCTAGTCTCACTTTGTACATCAGCGAGCCCCAGGGATGGGGCCGGCAAGGCATGGAGGGATTGAACCCCAGTCCCTGCGTCTGCCTAAGCAGGTGCTTTAATCCACTGAGCTATCTGGCCAGCCCTCCTGGAGTAGATTTTAAAAGCAGGCTCTAGGAACATTTTAAAATGTTAGTAGATAGTATCATATTCTCCAGAAAGACTGTGAGAGGAGCCCAGTGTTGTCATCATAGGTCTCTGGACCTATAGTTTCTCAGTTATAGATTCAAGTGTCCCTTGTTGTCTTCTGGGCCCTGGTGTCAGGATGCCCCCATTATTTCCCTGTGCCAAAATCTGCATCTGGTTAAGACTGTTGTAGAAAGTGACCTGTGTGTTTGCATAGACCCTGTTTGCATAGTACACTCCATTGTCTGTGGTCACTCATAATACATAGTACAGTGTAGATGCCATGCAAATGGTGTTACACTGTATTGTTTAGAGAATAACAAGAGAAAAGCAGTGTGTGTTCACTATGAACACAACTTAAAAATATTCTTGAGCCTTGGTTGATTGAATCATGACTGGAACCCACAGGTGTGGTGAGGGGTGATATTAATACCCAGCCTCTCCTGATTTGAAAGTTTATCACATAGTATTTGCACAGGAACTTTTGAGGTGAAAATGAGTTTTTAGTCTGTAGTTTTTGGTTGTCTCAGCTCTGACTGGACAAATGACTCCAGTGTCATGGAAAATGTGGGAACAAGGTCTCTAGATAGAGCAGCCCAGTTCTGAATCCTAGCTCTGCCACTCATAAGCTGGGTGTATGAATTTCCTCGGCTTCATTGGGAATGCAGTTTCTACCTAGATCCCTGTGAGGGTTATCGTGCATAATGGAAAAGATGTGCCTGTGTACCACTGCAGACCAGCAGTTTCTAGTCAGAGGTAGCTATTGTTAATAAGACTAAACAAGATTCTGAGGGAGGATTGAGAAGGAGACTTTATCAGCCTCACAGTTTTCCAAAGGAGGAACAAACTACTTGCTTCTGCTGACATTGAAACCAGCATTAGGGCCTTGCTAATTCTCACATCGAAAACACTATCTAACTGACTGTGTGATTGGCCCCACAGCAGTTGTTTTAGTGCCTCATTAAAACTTTTTTTTTTTAAAGTAGGTGGCCATCTGTCATTTATTCTGATTGTAAATAAGCTTTGCCTCTGCACCAGAACTGATAGTGGCAACTATCAGTACCCTAGGTTTTCCCAAACAGATAATGCAGTTTAAAGAAGAATGTGAGCCAGACATGGTGTTACATAGCTGTAGTCGAAACACTCTGGGAGGCTGAGCCAAGAGGATACCAGTTTTGAGCACAGACCAGGGAGCTTAAAGATAATAAGCAGATCTGGTCTCAAAAATGCAAAATGTTTTAAAAAGAGGGGCTGGGGATATAGCTCAGAAGGTCCTAGGTTTTGTCTCTAGTAAGAGGGTGGAAAAGAGTGGTCAAAGGAAATTTTTGGGGGGTTCTTATAAAAATTAAGTGATAGTTCATAAGCATTTAACACATATTCTAGAAGTGTTTTCTTTCCTTAATAAGTTTTAGCTGGGCATGGTGGCACAGGTCTGTAAATCCAGCACTTGGGAGGCTGAGCCAGGAGCATCATGCTGTTGAGTTCAAGGCCAGCCTGTACTACTGATTGAGACCGTATCTCAAAAACATAAGTCTTTGACTTCTGGTTTCCACTTCCTCACTTTGAGCTTTTATATGAAATATTTTTTGAATTTTGCTATTATAGAAGTTTCTTGGTAATTTGTTTATAAATTATAAAAACTCATACAATTTTTATACTCTCTATATTGTGTTCTTGGGTTAAGTGCTTTCCTTTTAGAATTACAATTATTTGTCTTTCTACCAGATTTAATTACTTCTTAAGCTGCATCCATGGAGCACATACAGGGTGCTTGGAAGACGATCAGCAATGGTTTTGGACTTAAGGATGCTGTGTTTGATGGCTCCAGCTGCATCTCCCCAACGATTGTGCAGCAGTTTGGCTATCAGCGCCGGGCCTCAGATGATGGCAAACTCACAGAGTCCTCGAAGACGAGCAGCACCATCCGGGTTTTCTTGCCAAATAAGCAGAGAACAGTGGTATGTGCGTTCCTCCTAAAGAACTCAGCTTTTGCCTGCCTGTAGAAAATAGTGTGGCTCCTACTGCCCAACTATGTACAGGCAGAATCTCATTGTCATTTAGGAGCTTTAGAAATTGATTTTTGTATACTACTATATTATTGTTCTTTCTAAACTCCCTGCATTTCCCTACCTGATGGCCTTTCTTCTGTTGTTACTCTAGCCTGGAATGGTTTCTTTCAAGTCAGCACATTCATGTGGGGGCATTTCTAAGACTTCTGTTTGAAAAGCTTGATTCCTTTTTTTGTTTTTTTGAGACATGGTCTCACTTTTTTTTTTTTTTTTTTTTTATAAAACAAGAAAAATTCTGCTTGGTTTATTTTTCACCGGTCTGTTCTGTAATGCTTCTAATAATATCAGAATCACCTGGATCAATGATTGCCAGTGTGCATACTCTACATTTTTTCCACATGCTGTGCCCAGTTCAATATTATTGCCGCTGTAGTGGTGGACACCAGTTTTGGCCAACATAGCATAGTACTCTATTTCAGATTTCCTCAAGGCTGGGCAGTTGTTGGCAAGGATGACCAATTTCGCTTTGCCCTGTCTGATCATCTTCAGCGTCTGCTTGTACCCCAGCACGTACTTTCCACTTTTCATAACAAGTTGGAGCCTAGAGTTGATGGACTCCAGAGATTTTTTCGTCTTCTTTGCGGCCACCATCTTCCTGTCTTAGGTGCGGACGACCCTCAACCAGGAGCAGCCGCCCATGTTCTCACTTTGTAATTTAGACTAGCCTTGAATTCACTGTGTAACCCACACTAGTCTCAAACTCACAGCAATTTGCCTGCCTTAGCCTCCCAAGTGCTGGAATGACAGGCATGTGCCACCATCTGGCATCTGGCGTTACCCCTGTCTCTTACTATCTTCTCCATAAGCATCTACTGCCAGTTTAATTGTGTGGGCCCATAAAACCTGGCCCATGTTGAGACCCCTTGCTGACTTTACTCAGCCAAATTATGTAGACATATTTATGCAGTATTTGTGCCTCTGTGTCCTGACCTTATGAAATGCAGTGGACTTAGGGCATTGGCAGCTATGATTATTTCATAGCTGTTTTGGTCAGCAATACAGCCCTTGACAGCTTTCAGGTTGAGAACTAATGATATAGAGGCTGCAGTTTGTGCCCAGGTTCTGGCAGAGGAGGCCAGGCTTTCCCACTCAGGTCACCTCAGGAGTGCCAGTTTCAGAGGGTAGAGGAGCCACCTGCTGGACAGTGTCAGCTGTCTGCAGTTCTCTTACCCCAAGTGGTTTCTCCTACTCTTAATGGCTCCTGAAACAGTTGGAGGAAGTCATTATGTATGGGGGGAG